TCACCAGCCTCGTTGCCCTTCTCTGGACACGCTCCAGCACCTTGACGTCCTTCTTGTAGTGAGGGGCCCAAAACTCAACACAGTATTCGAGGTGCGGCCTCGCCAGGGCTGAGTACAGGGGCACGATCACTTCCCTACTCCTGCTGGCCACACTATTTCTGATACAGGCCAGGACGCCATTGGCCTTCTTGGCCGCCTGGGCACACTGCCGGCTCACGTTCAGCCGGCTGAACATGTCATCTCTATGGACAAACTATAGAAATGTTGATACAATTCAGTTAAGTCTCTTTCTGTTTTAATGAGTGCAATGTAAAATCTCTTACTAAACTTTGATAGGCATGAAATTATAACAACAGAATAGTTGGCTATAGTTGTCTTTGATAAATGTAATTTTACTCAGTTTTCTTTCATAAATGAATTCAATTCATGCAGTTAAAATGGTCTTTGGGTATTAAATTGTAAATAATGTCATTATATCCTTGTACCTGTAGAATACTGCTGGCCTAGATGATTTTGAGAGGCAAAAAACCCTTGGAACAGGATCATTTGGGAGAGTTATGATGGTGAAACATAAATCCACAGAACAGTATTATGCTATGAAGATACTGGACAAACAGAAGGTTGGTGTAATTTATAGTGGTTTTTGTGATACAAAAGAGTTTGATGTACAAAGATCTGGTAACTGTGGCTAAACTTTGTTGCGCTTACTGTGCTTTTGTGTATCGCACTTGAATACTGGTGATACTTTAAACAGTTGACTTTCTTTTTTTAGCCAGCAGATTCAGTTGTTGGGGTTGTGTAGAATTCTTACAACAGCCAATAACATTAATGGCAGGCTAAAGAGGCTCTAAGTAGTGTCCAAGGCATTAAGAAAATGTTATCAGTTAAATTCTCTGCTTAGCTGTTGTAAGGTGGCCTGTATGTTCTTTGGCAAAAGCAAAATGTAGTGCTGTAGTTAAAATAAATAAATACACCTTTGCAGGGTAGCTCAAAATTCTGGAAGACTCTTTCGATCAGAAATTCTCAAAATATTCATTTGTGAACCATAATTTAACAAATTGTTTGCACAAATAATTTCTTCCCCACTCCTGATCCCATGAGGTATTACTTCTTGTATGCACAATTATGTAATAATCCTGCTGCATCTATAGTAACTGCATAGATAGAACAGTAGTCTCTCTCTCAGGACAGCTGTCACACAATAGACATTTTCTGTGTTGAAGACTTAAGTGCTGTAGTCTGAATCGGTATTGTTACTCCAGCCTCACTTTTTTTAACAGTTTATTACTCTTAGATTAAGTAAGTGGTGTCATTTGATAAAGTTTGAATTTTAAATAAAATAGAATTCCAGAATGCTAAGAAGTATTTTTAGGGAATTTATCAATACAATTAGTTTTTAATGCTTTTGACAAGTTTTTCAGAAGTACATTATTTAGATTAGTCGCTTCTAAGCTCTTCTTACTTTCTAAGACACTATACATAACTTTGCTGCTGTATAACAAAGATCATAGTAAGAAACTATTAATCTGGCAAAGAGAACTTAATCAGCAACTGACAAAATGACAGTCAGCGTTGCCTCATTGTGGACTCGTGCACTTAGGCATTATTACCTTCCTGAGTAATTTTATATAATGGAACTATGGCAGTGACAAAATCAAACCGTTTTCCCTGAGTTGCAGTTCCACTATTCTTTACATGTGATTTGGGGTCCTGGACCTTGAATAATGTGTCATTTAATTAAAGACTGCTTTATAATGGTCAGACAAGAAGAAACTAAAGTAAACTTACCTTTTAGCGTCAATTCTGGCATTTTTTTACTTGGAAAAGCTCAATTTTTTGCATAACAATGGTTTCTGACTTCTATTTTAAAAAAAAATCCAATTAAATTAAAAAAACCTTCCAACATAGTACAACTGAAAGACAGCCCGGACCATTTCCACCCGTGTGAAAATTTACCTCATTATTACCTCAAGTATGGCTGGTGGCATCCTGTTGAGAGCGTTGCTGTAACACGAGGTCTGATGAGCACCCCACTGCTGCACGGAGAGCCCATCGTCAAATTTCAGATCTTCAACTGTTTTTTCTTTGAACGCTTTTTCATGAATGGCTGAGTCCTTGTCATTGGGGCAATATAGGAAATTAGATCTTACTTCAGAAAGCTGCCATAAAAATAGTCTGAGGATTTAAAAAAAAAAAAAAAAAAAAGTTAAACTCATTGCTACCTCTCAGTTGAAAATAAAATGGAAAGCTATAGCTATAAAATTACCTGGTAAAAGCAAAAATTCACATTTTCAATGATTGCACTGGACTTGCAGTAAAAGATTCACAGGATTAAAGATGTTTGCATCCAGGTATCAGTCTTCTATTAGAAAATTAGATTATTTTGTCTATAATCAGAAGTCTGAAGTGTTCCTTTATAAAATACATGCTTTTTCAACTCAACTTAGCATATATTTATGTATTCTATTAGAAATATATTAGTGTTATATTAGTAACTTCTATTAATTGATCAAAAAAAATAGGTGATGGTTTAGGGAGAACACATTTCTATCACTTTGTATATTACAGAAAACATACAGATGTCTGAAATTAGACAATGTGCAGGCTGCCTATAATTTTTCATTTACATTTTACTTGAAACAAGAAAAAGCATATTGTGTGTCCTTTTGTTATCCAATCTTATGCTTGGTTTATCACGATATGAAAAAAAAAAAAGTAATAGATGTTGATGCAGCCAGTAGTTTTGTGTGTAGGGTTGTTATTCCTTTATTTGTCTGCCTTGATTTAGGAAGGCTGTAACATAACATTGCGTGGCTAGTTTCATTACGTAATTGTTTTTGGAAAGAAAATACTGTTAATAAAAGCTCAGACACAAACAAGCTGTTGGACAATCTGCCGTTACGAGGTATCATTTGATCTACAGGAAGCTGTCATTGGACATGCCCTGAGCTTGAGCTTAAGTGTGAGCAAAGCCGTGTTATCTGAGGCCCCAGTTTGATGTTATGAAGTGTTAAACAGCAGCTTCAGCCTGTGGTATTGCTGCCATCACCCTCCGGTATCTAACCAGCAGAAGATGCAGGAAGGGTGGTAAAGCCTTGTCTGGCATTGCAGCGGAATGCTTCACGATACGCACCTAAAACCTTAGCTTCCTTGCTTTGGTGGCCAAGAATTCCAGTGCCATAGGTTTTTAGGGATGAAGGGAACACTTCCCACAAATGAGCTGATTTGAGCAAAATTTTTATTTGGTCCTTAAAGATCCGTGATTCAAGAGATTTAATATTTTTAACTCACTGTTTCTTTTGTATGACATTTATTTCAAATCAGTAGTGTTTTTTTATAGGTACTACCTTTTGCATCTAAAAGTTAAATTTAAACACCGTTTCAGTCAGGATTGGAATATCTTGCTTATCTGTTACTTATAGCAGCTAGATTTGATTTCCGAACATGTAAAAACAGGCTTGTTTTGATCACTCTTGTACATTTTCTCCTTGTTTCCTATTGGGGGGAAAAGGAAAAGTAACTTTACTTGGAAATCATGCCGTTCTCAAAATGAGATATAGATAAATTGTGCAACAGGGATTAAGTAAAATGGAAAGAATCTATTGTGCAATGTTGGGCTTTAACACAAGGAAACCAATTGTTAATTTCTGAGAAAAAGCAATAATCAGAGGTCTGCCACTTGCTGCCTTGTTAGCAGCTTAACAGTGTAATGGATTCCAGGAAGGTAGCATTTAATTTTTTTAATACTTTTCCTAAGCGGTTTGCTAAGCAGAAAAGCAAAACCCATTGAAAGGTCTGGTGGAAGTAACTATTGTTTATAAGAACGGAAATTTTGAATTTGTATTCTCCTTAGTCTTCTCCTCACTAATGTGTGAGCTATATAAAATAAGTCACTTTACTCCTGTTCACACATAACAAAGTTCGTAATTAAATGTCTGACACGATTTCCTGCCTTTCTTAGCAAAGGGTCCAAAGATCAAATGGATTTTATTGAACTGTCATCTTCCTGCGGAAGTATCTCCATTACAAACGCAAGCAATTCTTAAGAAAATGTAAAGAGGTGTTTCCCTTACTGATTTCTATACTCAGCGTGTAGTAAGAAACACTATTCTAGAGTTATCTGCAAACCGTATTGCATGAGTATTACTCTTTAAAATGTCGTTAGACTTTTTAATCCTTTCTCGGCACTGTTATTGTACTAGTAATCCATAAGGTTTTTCATTATCTGTAAAGTTACAAGCTTGCTTTCAACTAATTGTTTTACACTGAAAAATTTATCACCAACTATAAAATGTCATACTTAAACTGAAGATTGTTTTTTCTCTCCTAGGTCGTCAAACTGAAGCAAATAGAACACACACTGAATGAGAAGAGAATATTACAAGCGGTGAACTTTCCTTTCCTTGTAAAACTGGAGTATTCTTTTAAGGTAATCATTATTTTGAAAGAAGTTGTTTGGGTTTCAGGGAAGTGCGTGCTCAAACTTTAGATATTAAAACATTTAACTTTTACAGTAAATAGTTCAAGTATTTTTGTTTTCACAGATGCTTCACTTGGCACTGTTGCCAGGTCTTGAGCAGGAGCTCCTGCACTTGTGCGCACACTTGCATACACCCCAATTCACCAGGTGATGATTGAAAGGATATCTCCAAATAAATAAATAAAAATTAAATTGAATTGAACTCTTAGAGATATCCCTTGTTTTGGAGGGAAGCCGGCTTTTGTACAGCAGGGAGCTTTTAGGCATCATTCTGTCTTTGAGAGAAGCCAAAGGATGTATTTCTGTACCAATATATATTCGTATGGTGGTGTTGGGTTGACGGTTGGACTCGATGATCTTGGAGGTCTCTTCCAACCTTAATGATTCTATGATTCTATGATTCTATGGAATGGTAAATTTGTAATTGTTCTGCAGATTTTTTGTTTGAGATTTATACCTGAGGCAGGTCTTAATGACAATCTTAACCATGAAGGAAAGAACTTTGAGGTTAGCTTCTAATTTCATGACTGTATGTGCTAGTCTGTAAAGAAATTGAGTATTTTCCTAATTTATAGAGTGATATGTGTCCTTTATATATTTCCTTCTTTTTTCTTTTTTCTTTTTTAATACCATTTAAAATGAACAAACATGTTCTACCTTAATCTTTAGTTTTGAGGTTTGGGGCTGGGGCTGTGGGAGACGAGAATACCTCAGGGTGTCAATTCTGAACTTTTAAGAGTGCAAGGACTTGTCTTGCAGCAGGCATCTTACCCTCTCTTCCTTCAGGTCACTTACACACCATTCTGTGTTAGGAACTCATTAATTATCTTTATTCAAATTTACTTTAAAATAGATTTCTTGAGATATATGATGCTCCTTTTATCATGTGTCTGCGCTTTTTTGAGAATTTCTACCTGTGTTAATTCATATTTGTTAAGGTCATTGGATGGCTACAATTTCTCACTTTAATTCTTTAATAGAATGCACTGTAGGTAGGAATTATAGAGACTACAGCATGTCTAATATGTATTTGCATGTGTTTACTTTCTGTAGGACAATTCTAATTTATACATGGTAATGGAGTATGTTCCTGGTGGTGAAATGTTTTCACATCTAAGAAGAATCGGAAGGTTCAGGTAAGAGTATTAATGACATTATTCCTTTAAAAAGGCTTATGTTGCTAATTTGGGAAGAGGGTTTTATAAAATTCGTTAGCATTGAAGAAAACATTCTGAAGGGGTAAGTGTGTTTAATTTACCCCTCTTTCAGTGGACTTAAACTAGTCAGACAATGAAAAACTTGTAATTATTTCTTATTTTTCAGTTAGTTAATGTAGGCATTCGTGATCTATGCACGACAGAATCTTGGAATTCCTATGCATATTGTCACTGAAATTGACGATACTTTCTAAAAGTAAAATTTAAAGTCTAAGCTCTGTATTGTGGGATGCATTCATCTTGATTTGCATGTGTATTTTAGCTGCAAAACTTAAATTAACTTTAGGGAATGAGTGTATCAGTTCTAAAATGTTTGCTGTTTGCTTTTTTTTTTCTTGTTACACAGTAAAAGAACCAGTTAAAAGATACTGCATTTGTCTATCCCAGGCAGTTACATGGTTGTTTCAGTATCTTAGCATAGTATTGGGGTACTTAATATTCTTTTAATTCTTCACAGTGAACCACATGCACGGTTTTATGCAGCTCAGATAGTGCTAACATTTGAGTACCTCCATTCGTTAGACCTCATCTACAGAGATCTAAAGCCTGAAAATCTTTTAATTGATCAGCAAGGATACATCCAGGTATGATATTCTTCATGTATTTAGGGAGTGGAGTCTTGTCTTACAGTGTAGGGTTAAGTAATTCTAGAAAATGTGTTTAGAATAAACGGTCTTAAGCTGGTTGTCATGTTAGCATGTATTCAGGGAGCATTAAAATGCCCCACTGCTTAGTAATGGTTAAAACCATTGGATTGTACTTCCTCTGACTGAAATTAAGTAGGCACAATGGAGCTGTCTGCAGCTGAGTGAGTTGTCAAGATTTCCCTTGGGGTCTGCAGTGAGAAGCAGGTGATTACAGGGCTCTGTTCATCTGACCTATTTTATACGTCTGCCCTAGAACAAGACGAAAAGTGCCCTAAAATGTCTGGTTCTCTGCATTGTCTATGTAAGTAGTTTAGGATAACCAGCTTAGATGTCAACACCAACACTACAGTACTTAATTGCAGTCATATGAATCCCACCCTTGGAGAGTCCTAACCTTCTCAGCCCATCTGGAGTAAGAACTGAGTTGAGATCAGATCAGAATTGCAGTGCTGCAGATGACGACTTTGGTTTTACAACAACCTCTCACGGCACCTCCTCATCTTCCTTTTAGTTCTTATGTTTTTGATCTAAATGGCAAATGGGAAGGTGGTAGATAGCAACAAGCACTCTGCAATGCTTCGCAGTCCTTAAACTATAGAAGCTCTTCTTTCCTCATTGTGTCACCTTTTTGCCATAGCAGAATCTCACAGAAAAATACATAATAAAAATGTTCAAGAGAAGTGGAAAGGATTTGTATCTTCTGTTGTTTATAACTGTAAAATAATTTTGCATGGAGAATAAAATAACACTGTAGGGAGAAGAGAAATACAAGCTCTATTAATGTGGTTGGGGAGCACCATTAATGTAAAGCTATGAACGGCTTACTCCAGAATTGGCGACTCTCTATATGGAACAGTATGTTTTTGTGATGGTGGGCAAACTGCAAATGATAGCGAGTCCAGCAGTCACTCTTCCCATGTGAGCTTGGTTCATTTCTGCTTCTGAACAGAGAGGGGGGGGTGTGTTTATATGTTGGTACTGCAGCTCCAACTAAATTTTGTTTAGAAACTCCATTCCTTTTCTTTTTGAATTTTAAAGCCATTACCGTTTGTCCCCTGTCTGCAGCGTATTCTTTGTACATAGACTGATGGGCATTCACAAACACAGAAATGGTTCTTTGCTGACTGAAGCAGGTCTGCCTAGTCGGCACGTCACCCTCTCTGTTCACTTGCAGCTGTGATTGCTGTTGTTTCTACCAAAAATGAAGCAAAAGCTGCCTTTATAGTTTAGAGTTTGGCTTGTTTAATTGTGACACTAGTGTATCAGAAACAACAGCACAGGTTATTGTATAATTAGCAATGATTATCGTTGTTGTACAGTATGTTTTCTGAGGGAACGGGTTGAAAATGATACCAAGAAGGAGGAAACAAAAGAAACAGATCTCCAAACAAGCATAGGCTTGATAGCTTGAAACTGATCGCAGAATTTCGTATGTAACTCCCTGGCTTCCGTATGTATTCCACAATACGGTCCAGGAAAAATCACAGAGAGGATGATATCGCATACAGAGTTCTGAACACTTACTGCAGAAAACATGACAAGTGGAATGAAGAATTTGTAATGGCCAAGAATTTGCCATTTGTGAATACAGTTACTGCTACGTTTCCCCCCTAGTCCTCAAATAAACAAGCTTGACTCTGGTGATGCTTTCAAAGACATTCAGAATCAGAAGTTACTGGAAGACCTCTTTTATGTTGTCTTATTCCCACACTAATTTTACATATAACCTTTATATACTTCTGCACTAAAATTCTAAATTTACAAGACTGGCGGATCTCTTGACCCTTTTTGTGATTCATTTGTTAACTAAAGGAAAAGATAAATATCTTGTTCATATTCATGTTCTTTAAACTTTCAGCAGTATAAACAGTCTGATGTGAAAAGTATCAAAAAATTATTAATGTAATTGCAGTACATGTGGAAGATTAGTAAGCCATAGTTCCCGCTGATTTTTTAAATTATAAATAGAAGTTTGCGTCAGGGGGAAAAGACGTATTTTGTGTTATTTATTAATTTTATCACAAGAAACCTTCTATCTGTCTGAATTAGAAGTATCAGAAGGAGTGGCTACTAAAGGTACATCTGACTATATGATACTATGTGATTTGAGACAAATTTTTCCTCTGTATAAAATAGCTTTCCAAAATATTTCAGAAGTACTTAATTTTAAATTTTGTTGTAGAAATGCACTTACAGTCAGTTTATTTCTTCTGATGACAGGTCACGGACTTTGGCTTTGCAAAAAGAGTAAAAGGAAGAACTTGGACGTTATGTGGGACTCCAGAATACTTGGCACCTGAAATAATTCTCAGCAAGGTACTTTGTCTTGTTATTCAGCCATGCATTTGATGCAGTTAAAACTTATCACCCAATTACTAAACTCTGAGGGATAAACAATTGCTGATACTTCCAAAAATCAAATCTTGACTAATCAACTCTTTAAGAATTACACAAAATGCAGTTGTTGCATTGTAAGTATTTTTTAGTATGCTAAAACCTACTCCAAAGCTACTTACTTACTCAGATTTTCTCATAACCGTACAGAACTTTCTACATATGCTTGCCATGTAACTTGTGAAGGGGGAAAAATGGATTTAAAGAATCTGTAATCAGGTTATTTAACTAGCATCCTTATCAGAACAGTAGATCTGAGTGATTACGTTCTGAAGTGTTAACAGACTAGAACAGGAGCTCCAGAGGTAACAAGAACTGCATGTTGGATGAATCAGTAGTCATTAAATAACTAGTTGCAGAGTGTTTCAGGTTTAAGGCACTTTACATGAAATCAAACATGACAAACCACTGGCTTTACACATAAAGTACATGCAGTCTAAGCTTGATCAGTTTGTGTCTAGTACTTGCACTAACTGTTTGAACATAGAAGAAATATTATTTATCATATAGCTGTTCAACTGTAGCCCTTCATGTTTTGCAAAGGAAAAATATCTTTATAGTTTATGAAACTGCTTATGATATAAACAATCATAATGCATAACGTTAAGTTATGCACTTAATAGGTGGTTTAATTAAATACCCTTTGCAGGTCTTTAAAAGTAAACCAAAAATACTTTTATTTGGGGAGAAAATGTTCATTATTTGCAGCTTTGTGCCCCTATGCAGCTAAAGCAGCAGAAGAAATTGCAATGTGTTGGCTACAAGTTCTCCATAGTAGATTTTTCAGGAAGGACTGAGTCTTAGACCTGAGCTTTGTAAAAGATCTCAGAGAACGCATATAAAATGGATGGGGTTGGTGGGGTTTTCTGTCTTTTTAAATATTAAATAGGATTTACTAATGATTTTATGTTCAGGCTTTAAAGACCAGATCATAAATGACTCTAACAGTTAATTAACTAAAGGTTTAAGCTCTTGTAGCTAGTTTAGTAAATATGAAAATGAGTGTTCTGAAATGCAGATAATCAAGCAAAAAGGCGATGGTATACGATATAGGAAGTGTTGTTATATTTAATGAACTTTCCCTAAGCTTTGAAAGAAGTTTCAATCATTCTGTAACAAGAGTATTTTGATTTTAAATAACTAACTAAATAAACTGTGCCCATTTCTGCCACTTAGGGAGTCTTGTCACATCAGTGTAAAGACATCACTGAAACTCAGCACAGGAATGTGTGCAAAATGTTTCGCTGTCATCACTCTATTAGGTTTTAAGGATATTGCTGTTGGAATCTGTGAGCTTCAGTTTGGTTTGAACTAGGTTGTAAGTTCTGTATTAAACAAGCAATAATGCATTGGCTTTCTCTGTATTCCATAGATATATATTGAAAATCTTAAACTATGTTAGAAATGTACTAACAGTGTGGTATTTTATCCAGGGTTACAACAAGGCAGTGGATTGGTGGGCATTAGGAGTGTTAATCTATGAAATGGCAGCTGGATATCCCCCGTTCTTTGCAGATCAGCCCATTCAAATTTATGAGAAGATTGTGTCTGGCAAGGTGAGTGAAGGCTCTGTGTATTTTCGCAAATGCAGTAGTTTGTCTTTGCAGAACCTGTTTTTTGTCTCGAGTAGATGCAGGATTTACTGGCTACTAGACAGTGAGCAATTTGGAAAGAATATGGGAGAAGTTCGTAATGTATACTTCTTAAGTACAGACGTTGTTTCAGTAATATTAAAAATCAAAGTTCTAAAAATCTGTTCCCTGCCTTCAGATTTAAAATGCAAGTTACTAAATTTACAGACATTGTGGTATTATGTCCTTTTATGCTTGGATAAAAATGATCCAACAACTATTAACAATTGTTTAGCTGTATGCTTAATTTGCCTAGCTATTTTGTTTTCTAGAAAACATTTTTGCAGCTTTTGAGAAGCTCTAAAGAGTTTCCATAATTCATAGTAGGTTTCTTTACTCCTGCCATCCTGTAGTTCAAGACACGTCTAATGTTCTGTTCAGCTTCCATTGTTATATGCAATTTTTATAAAGTGTTTCTGACTTTTCCCTTTTATTTGTCATGAATATCTCTTAGTGTGCCAGATAGCACGAAAATGTGATCATTCTGTTGTTTCTCCTGCCAGCCAGTGTTGTCTCTTCATGTTTCTTTGTGCTCGCTTGATTTATTACGGTTCTTTTCTTCCTTGTCCCTACATAAACACATGCTGTGCTGCACCTCATGTACTTCTGTAATTCTAATCAAGGGAAGTGCCTCGGCAGGCCCTGTGCTACACTGCAGTGAGATTGATTCCTGTCTAGTACCTTACTTAAATCAAGAAGGTGGTGGCTCTTTGAAAGGCTGTAATACTGTGACCCTTCAGCTGTCTCCATGAATATATGGGAATTCATTTACGAAGATACGTTTTTGAAGAAATATTTATCTTCTAAACTAAAAAAAATGGGGCATTTTTTGCAGTTGTATCTCATTTGCTTGACGTTTGTACTGTTGATCATCCACCTTTTTTACTGAGTTCGTGGATGGATGGTTGCAGAAACAGCACTGGACTTGAACTCTGCAAACTCTTTAACATTCAGTTCTCAGCTAGCAGTACGTTTTCTTTATAACCTTAAGTCTTTCATTTAATCTGCCTCATGCACTTAGTTCTCTACTTAAAAAATGGCGTTAATATTTCCTTACTTCTCAGCTGTCTAGGTATTACATTCATTAAAACCTGTGAATTTCTCACGTACTACAATAGAGCCATATTGACAGGTAAACTGAAGCAGTATCCTTGATTATCAGACCTCTTGATTTCGCAACATGTTTTTATGTTAAGTAATTCCATGTTCTGCATTTACATCATAACTGATCAGCTGAATGTAGGGCATCAAAGCTGAGACTGTGGGCATGAGAAATACAACTTTCTGCTTGTTGTTTTCCCCTTTCTATTCTCTTCCATCTCAGATGGTGCCAGTAGATTTTTTGCTAGTAAACCCCTGTGTAATTACATCCCATAAATCATCTTCAAATACATTTCTTAGCCAGGTTTGAATTAAATGTATTGGCAAGTCACTCGTGTGCTATCTTCAAATAGTGCTGTGTTATTTATGTAAGACTTTTGATGTTGGTGTATTTAGTTATCAGAAATGGATTACAGTACAGCATAAAGTTCCAGATTGAATTTTCATATATGATTGCTGAATGTTCAGTTATTTCAGAGCATATCTATATATTTATATGCTGTATATATGCTATACTATACTATATCTCCTGGGTGCATGTGTGAATGTATAATATAGAATATAATATATAATATAAAAATTTGTTCCTAGAAAATAGTTGAGAATGCCTTGAGGTGATGATGTGTTAGTGAGACACCAAGTTAAATTTAGCTTTTTTATCATTATTACATTAATGTTTTTCTTCAACTAAATCAGATCTAGAAACTTTCAGTTCAAAAAATGGTAGAGGCACAAGGTAGTACTATTGCTAAAGGCTCTGAGAAACAAATACATGTGCAACAATAATCATCTCTTTTCATGCATTCCTACTTGATTTGTTTTTAGAGGAAGAGTAGAAAATGGCCCCAATGTTTCCTTTTGTGTGAACGTTGTTTTACGTCACAGGGAAGAATCAAATTTGTGTATTGTTTTTAATGTTGTGGATGTATATTTTTAGGTAAGGTTCCCATCACACTTCAGTTCAGACCTAAAGGATCTTCTAAGAAATTTACTCCAGGTAGATTTGACCAAACGATATGGAAATCTCAAGAATGGTGTAAATGACATAAAGAATCACAAGTGGTTTGCAACTACAGATTGGATTGCCATTTATCAGAGAAAGGTAAGACGCTTCCTGATCAAAACTGTTACGGGTCTTTAAGGGGTTGAAGTAAAATTTCTAATTATTTTGCTTCTTTTTGCTTTCCTAAATCTGTCACTTTTAATTAAACTAAGAAAAGGTGAAAGTAGTTTTATCTTTAACACTCTGAAGAGTTTATATTGATTGAATTATGTTTGGTTTTGTTGGCATTTTATCCTGGACCTCTGTGTACATTCATGTTCTCTTAACACGTGTTGTGCTTTAGTCTATTTCTGGAATATCTCAGAATGAGCCATCTCCTGCCTCTCTCGCTTTTTATTTAACCCCTGCTATAGTGGCATCTATAAATACTCCTCCACAGCAGAGAGGAATCTGTTTTCCTTTCCAGCTAGTTCTTAGCAGTCAGACTGTGCTTCAGTGTGGAGGAGCTCTAGCCAAAGCGAGAGCTTTTCTTTTTCTGCTAAAGAAGTATGCTCCCTCCTTCTTGCTCTTGCTTTATCTGTGACTGGGACAGGGTCAGGTGCAGAGAGTGTCTGTTCGGTCTTCAGTGTCTACTGAGGAGTTTTTGCCTTCTGACACTACACTTTAATTGACTGCAGTTCCAGAAGCTGCAGTAATGAAGAGAGCCCTGCTGAATGCTGTTTTCCAGGATTTTTTAGAATGGTTTTCTAGCCCTGCCTGACCAGCATGACTTGCAATGTGGTTTTTAGACAGTCCATGTCTGGTTTGCACTATGAACTTCAGACTTGCATAAGAATGAAAGCAACAGAGAGAATTGAGAATATGTTCGGAGCAGGAGCAGCCATTAACATACCGGTTTGAGAGGAGCACATTAGTGGCTGCCAGGATGAATGACGCAGAGCTGGGACAGGAAACTGGGGAAAGGGATGAGGATGATGACAGTTCAGTCTAGGTTTGTCTTCCAGTAGCTCCAAAGCTCCCTCTCCCCTTCAAAGTAGAGTCAAAGTTAAATATCTGTGGATTAGTGAGTTATGAAAAACAGATTCCTAAGAAATTATTTGTTCTCTTAAGTACAACCTCTGAATTCTTGGTTTTTCAATAGACATCAATAAAAGACTAAAATAACTTCTTTGGTGTTGTCCCAGAAGACTCAGATGGGGAAATAATTTTGTGTCTAGATATTGGTAAAAAGGTTGGAGTCAAGTGATAACATTTCAAGGAATTGGTTTACATTGCTGAAGTGCTAATAGCGTTGGTTATAGAGGCATGAACTTGCTGCTATAACAGCAGTATTTTAAAGGCCAAACGTAAACAGTAACAATAGTTTCTAAAAAGAAACTGGTTGTTTGGCTACACAAACTGACGGTACAGTTGTTGTAGTATTCACTGATGTATTAATTACTAGAAGACAGGGTACAATTAACACGTCTTGTATTCTTTCTATGAAGTATAGATGTTTTAAGAGAAGGTTCCCCATTGGAGAATTATAATTATCTGTTCTTTGCTTTCTTAATGCCTGTTTACAAGGCAGTTTTATATGCACTGAGTTTCATTCCCCAGTATGCCATCTGGGGACACCCAGGCCCCATAATATTAAATCAGATGTTTTAATAGTGTGCTAAATGTTCTTAGCATTGCTAGTGCACTGCTGTAGAGAATTACTTTCACAGAAACAAGAAATATTTTAAAACGTGAATTAGTAGTACAGTCAGAATAGCTATTACTAATTTTAAAGGATTGCGAAAACTGATGCTGGATAAGTTTGAAGCTTCTAAGTAGAAGGAATAACTACTGTAACACTAAGGGTCTGAAACAACAGCATGGATTGTAATATCATTTAAGCAGTCATAGAAATACAGCAATAAACTTCAGGTTTATACCAGCTTTTCACAGTGGCTGTTACCTCAGCGTGTATTTTCCTGAATAAACGTAATGTTCCTTGGCAGCTAATGTAATGTGAATGATTTGGTATGCTACAGTAATAAGTGAACCAGCCAACTACTTAATATTTCAGATAAGATCAAATCTTGTTTTCTTTGTGTGTTTGTGTAGCTGTTTATTAAAACGCTGCTTGATAATATGGTCGTACTTAGGGCCAAACAGGTATTTCTACTATAAACCAATGTTACCTCCTGCAATCTCTTTTTAGCGATTTCCTTAGCAAAGATAATAGGAAAAAGTCTGAGGCATCTCATTTGAACATGTTCTAAAATTCCAGCAGTAAATAAGATATTTCTTGTGCTCTGAGCTTTGTAGTAAGGAAGTAATTGAAAATCCATTTGAGAAGACACAGAAACAGAATTCAGATACTGGCAAACGTGTGGCTTTGTAGGCTAGGTATGTGCCCAGACTGTGTATTCTCTCAGGATAAATCACCTAAACACATATATTGTTTTAGGAACAAAAGGATACACACGTGACAGGTGTAGCACAGGCTATAAATGCAGAAAGTTAGTGTTATTTCTTGGGGGTGTATAGTGTTATCACTCAAAGTCAGCAGAGTTTAATTTGTATTAGTCTGTGCTGTACCTCTTTAATTTACTGATTTCCACACACCACACACACCCCCGCCATCAGTAATGTACCCGGGGCACTGAGCAGTTCCGTGGTTGCACGGTGTGATCTGATCGCCTGCCTCAGCTGGAGCCATGCCTGCCCTGCTTAGCTGTCTCCCCACCGTGCTGCCTCTGGCACACATACTCCTTGGGATGTCCCGGAGAGAGATACTTCTCTGATTACTTTGCGTTTCCAGGTTTAAATTTGCGTCATCTCAATAATTTTGCTATAATTTTGCTTACCATAAAGGTGGATAAATCAGGCACCTGTCAAATGAAGAAGAGGAATGCGGTAGTGATAATCATGCCTCCAACTCCACTTTGTCCTAGACGTGTTTCAGTAGAGTATCTCTCCTTCTCCCTGGTCTTCCATTCTCTCTGGTCCCTTCCTTACCATCCATCCTTCATCATTGCCTCCCATCAACTCCAAACCCTGCTTATTCCTTCTTTCAGCATGCAGTTGATTCTAAAATTTAGGTTATTTTTAAAAGTTATTAAGCTTAATTTTGAACTTTATGAGGTGTGACAGACTAGAAGGATTAAGATTTGAATTAATATTAGCTAAGTGAAGGTGGAATTTAGTAGTCTGTTCCCTAACATAGCATTTCAGTGTCTGCAAGTTGGGAACAACTCCTTTATTTTTTTCTTTTTTTCTTTTTTTTTTTTTTTCCCCCTGACTGTGTAGGGACAGCGTGAGCTGTTAGCCAGTAAAAATGCAGGTATGTCCCTGTGCAGACCCCTATCTTCATTTAAGGTTGTCATTAGTTTAACTTCCCAGATGAGTAGAGGCTGAAGTGCACTAATTGGGACAGAAAGATTGAGACTGTTAAGTTGTAGCCAGACCCAAGGATTTTATTTTTTAAGGCCAACCTCAAAAAGCTGCAGGCTCCCTCAACTTTAAGAAGCAGCCGTTAAGAGGGTCCTGGAAAACAACTAGATGACCTTTAGAGGTCCCTTCCAACCCAAACTATTCCATGACTGGTTCCAATACCTGAGTGTGAATGGCTTACTGCCGTACAGTTGACATGAGATGCACTGAATCTCAGGGCTAATCGAGTATATATGTGGATTGGAGACATATCCCCCCTCTGCAAACCAGAAGGGGTTTTCCATCATTAATTAGGGCTGCACTGGCTTTTCTGTACAACCTTTTAGTGACCCCTTCAAGTCCTTGCTTGTCTCTCAGTTGTTGGCCTAGTTTTGAGAAGGCTTTTGCTTCTCACTTAAAGTTAGGTCCTAGGAAGAACTTTGTAGGAGATGCAGAACAAATTGTTTTAAACTTGTATTAGGTTAGGTTTTATTTGGAAATAGAGGATTGTGGGTAAGTAGGAGGAGAGGGGTTCCAAACAGCCCTGAGATTTTTAAGTAGCATTGATGGCAGTCAAACTACTTCTCCGCTTCCGCCGTGACCGTGTGACTATCCCATGCAGCCCTCGCTGCGCTGGGAGCCACGCCACGCAGCTGATGAGCTGAGAGCAGGGTCTGCTCTGCAAGAAGAGGCTAAACTTTGTTTTGAAGTGGAAGTAATTTTGTATTGATGTTTGTCTGTGAGATGTTAGTCTTTTTCAACTTACGTTCATACCTCTAGGTCTGCATCTTCCTAGGCTGTTTAAGCTGGTTCACTGTAATATCTGGTTTCTTGGCAGGATTTGAGGAGTAATGGGAATATTGTTGTGCTTGTTATCACAGTGTTAAATCTAAAGGTATTAGGCCGATAACATTTCATGTGCTTCCCCCCACCCCCCCCCAAATACAGGTAGAAGCTCCGTTCATACCAAAGTGCAGAGGCCCTGGAGATACCAGCAACTTTGATGACTATGAAGAAGAAGATATTCGTGCGTCTCTAACAGAAAAATGTGCAAAAGAATTTGCTGATTTTTAGTAGGAGTAAGAGGACAAGATGACATCAGGGCTCACATTGGGATCTTTGCACTCTGTTAACAGATGAGGTGGAGCTGAGACCATCATATGTCAAAACAGTTACCTAGTTACTTCATTCCACAAAGCTGACTGAGGTCTTTATTGCCATCTTCCATGTGTGCAGTTTGCACCAACCCTTCTAACTAGGCACAATTAAGCAAGCACTGTTTGTGCAGTAACACAGAATAATAGACCACTTTCCTACTTAACTTTGGTTTCTGTCGTTCTTTGTTTCTGTGTATTGTTCATTTTCCCCCTTTAAAATGAAGTAGTTTTTTACCCCAGAATGCTCCATTTTATTTTGAATAATGTATTATTTGTGTGAGTGAAATGGAAGGTGTTGCGGCTAGTGTGATTTAGACTGAAGTGAAAGATAAATGTTGCTTCTAGTCTGTGCCAGCCAATAATTCTTGTCTGTCTTGTGTCTGATGCTACAATTTATAATAATTTTTTAGTAGCTCAGACTAAACCTAGCCAACATTTCTAGCATTTTTGAAGGTAGTATTTATCGCCATATAAATGTCTGCTAAATTAACTTAAAAACATTTCTTCCTGGAGACTGACCAAAATTCAGTAGAATCAATTGGATGGCTTAAGTAGGGGACAGTAGCTAGACCCCGTGCCTTGGTTTTCTACATCCCTGCAGTTTTCGTCACTGCCTCCTTCCTTTGTATTTCCCACCTAGGCAGTAGGTAAATTGCCATAACCAGACTGTACCATGGGAAGCTTACAGTCTCGTGAGAGGGAGTAATTCCACCTGGTCTGGATTTTGGACCATATTTAACCAAGTCAACTTACCAGCATTTCAGTTGGCAGGTATGAAATGGCTTTTTTAAGAACATGAACCCTAAACTCTTAAAGGAAGTTTTGGTCAGTATTGTAGAGAAAGAATATGATTCATTTTGATTCACATTTTCTCTCTCTTTTTTTTTTTTTTTTTTTTTTTTTTTTTTTTTTTTTTTTTTTTTTTTTTTTTTTTTTTTAAAAGCCGATGTTTGGGCTCCCAAAGTATTCCTTGTTTTGAGCCTTTTTTGATTAAAAAAGGCATCCATTAAAATAAAAACCACCGCACCACAAAAAGCAAAATGCGCTCTGCCATTAGCTATGAAAAACAAATGGTTTAGCAAATGCGAAATAATGTTTTAGATGCATCGCTGGATGAACACGGTTATTTTTTGTTAGCTGTTAAGAATAAGAGGTTATTGCCAAGTTTTTATTCTGGTATACTATATTAGTAAACTGCGGATGGAGTACTGCTACAATCATTTTCTTTTTAATTACAGCACTTCATTCACGAAGAAAAGAGACAAAGTTTAAAAACTGCAACAGCTGGGTTTATTTTAGTTGCATTGTGTCTTCATTTCTAACCTACTTCCTTCCAATCAAACAGAATGTATGGTCACACAGATATAAGTATTTGGGCTTAATTATGTTTTGTATACTCTCACCAACTGACTTAAAAGGTATTGCTACCATGTGCTAGCTTTGGGCACTTTTACACATTTATTTCAATGTTAATAATCAGTGGCTCAGCACTTTTTGGGGGGTTGCTTTTAAACTTATTCGTAGTAGTTTTTATTTGTACACTTGATTCTGGCTGTCTCAGTGACCTGTCTTAAAACGGCACATCTAAACAGTTTAAACCAGACTCATATTTTATGGTAAATTTACATGCATACAAGGATGAATTGTTTTTAAAAAAAAAAAAAGAGCTATATTGATACATAGCCATTGTATTTGTTTGAATGTCGGTGCAAATAAACCGCTGGCATTCCTTCCTTTTAATCTGTATGACACTCCTTTAAGAAAAGCCTTTGTAGACGTTTTACAAAAGAGTATGAAAGGTACCATTCAACATTCTGTGTGTTTAGGTTGTTGAGCATTTTTGCACAACGTCGTTAGGAGGCTGACACTGAATGCAGTCTTTGTCCACCCATATTTACATATGTGCAAGAAAAGTATAAGATACTTTGCTGTAGCAAATTTTATGTAACAAAGATATATCGTCACATTAATAAATTTAAAGAAATCCTTTGTATGAAAATGTTAAAATCTTTTGTATTTCATTTAGACCAAGGACATGCTGCTGTATGCTAGCTGTATGCGATAAATTCTACAGTAACTTTGTTGTCGTTTATGAACTTTAAAAGATTTTAATAAATGTTGGAGATCACAATTTGATTCTGTTATGATTTTAATTTTTAATCATTACATTTATAATTCTAGTAAGGTTCGGAGATTTTTCTGTTTTGTAAAATACTGTAATCATTCATCTTGCGTGTACAATAAGACAAAAGTCTAGGAAATTGGTTCTGACGTGTCTGTCTGATATCCAGATTAAATTCTACGTGGGCATAAGTGGAAAAGTCATCTTAATGCCATGATACTATGCTATTTTTTAATTTTATGAAAATCCTGTTAGAAAGTAAAATACTTTTCCAATATGGCATAATAGACTTCAGTATGGAAATGAGATTCTATTTTGGAAAAGGAGGGGAAGTGTGCAATTTCCAAGGCATTAGTGAGTACATTTGACAATGTGAGTATTATACAACCCTCTCATTTAAACACAGTCATAAAATATAACTACAGAATATTATGTTACCTGTATTTAATTTGAAAAATCCTTTTCACGATATGGAAAAATTGTATATCTATGACAGTAGAAGCTTGTTAATTTTACACATTTGAGGAATTAAGTGTTGAACTATATGGTATATTTTAATTGTACTCTAGTTGTATGTAACTTTCATTTCCAACATAAAGGATTGTATCTCATTAAGTAAATTGCTTTTTTATTATCTTGTCAGTTGCATTAAAACCCTTATTTTTAAATCCTTTAAAGTATTTTACTAATTTTTGCAAATAATTAGATGTTTTTAAGTGCTGCAATAGTGTGCAATATAGTAAACATTTATATACAGAAGTGCAAATTAAATTATGTACAACACTTGCGCTGCTTCTTTGTGAATCAGAATGTTGTGTGATGAGAGTCGTTGCATCTCCCCACACGCTGCAAACAGGGCTTGAAAGCAAGAGGAAGAGGTTATGAAACATACTGCACACGTTAGTTGGGACCCATTAAGCTCTACACTACCTAGGGTGTTTGGAGAAGGTGGTGTGGAGAACACTGAAGGCACTATGAGAAGTCAGTGAGTTGACTTCTTAGACAATCAAAGGCAAGCGAGGTGGTCATTAGCTGCAATATTGTTTGTCTTCGTGTTTTCACATTCAGACTCGATGCTTTTTATTAAAGATAATTGCCTGTTTTTAAGCTCTCTGCAGATCCCGCTGTACAAACTGTGTGCTGTGTCTCATTGTGCTGTGAAACAACTGATAGAAGTAAAGCCTGTTCATGGTCTTGGCGTTGTCTGTCTTGAGGCTTTTTCTGCAAGTGGTGTTCGGAGAGGCTCTGGTACCTGCTGTCTCTAATGCCGCTCCTCCTCTTCCCGCTTTCTGAGCAGAGCTTCGGCCTCTTTGCCTCTGCTGCTCTACGCCTACTGACTGTGGGTTTGTGGTGTTCTTGGTTTCATAGTACAAATACTATATTACATTTTAAAGACCTTTGTACTTTTCCTAAAGCTGAGCTAAGAAACCGCAAGGAGATTGTCTTCTGCTTCTACTACAGCTCCCATGCGAACACAGCATGTCAAGCAGCAGATTTGAAGGTGTCATTCAAATCTGTTGTTGTTCTCATTTGTCACGTGTAAGGAGGACTTATCCCAGATAAGAATTTGAGAACCATTCCATAAGAAACTGGTAAAAAGACGATTCCGTTCTCCAGCTGGGGTGTGTATAGCTGATCTGGATGTGTTTGACAAAAAAAAAAAAAGTTGTATGACCACCAGAGTTTTACAAGTGTGGGTCTTGCACACATTTTAAAAATGTTTTTAGCTGGCAGCTTGAGGAATTGACTCATTTGAGGCCTCTGACAGAAGGGGTAGAACATGGGAGTCTAATGTCTGGCTGGGCAGTGATCACTTCCAGTAAAAGGGTTAGAGCTCCACAAGGATGTTTAAATGTCTTACAGGTAGTAAATATTTGTCATCTTACATAGGAATTATGTGAAGTGTTGGGGTTTTTAGAAGGATAAGACGGGTATCTCGGGGCAAGATAGGATCTCAAGATAGCTTCCCTTCCTAACTTTTGAATTTGATGATGAATAAAAGTTTGAATTAAATCTGAGGTCTAGTCACATTTTGACCTTTTGTTGTTGCTTTTTTTTTTTTTATACTCCAAAAAGGGATGCCTGCCTGAAGGAAACTTGCATATCTTGAAAATGTAGTTTATTCATATAATTCACTACTACAAAAAGTTCCTACCTCAGTGGGATAACAGCAACTTGAGGTTTCCATGAAATCATTGGGATGAGTTCCCAATAGTCTATTTCAAAGCCAGTAAAATTTCCTTTAGAATCCTTACAGTCTGGTTGTCCTGTTCCCTCCCTCAGAGGGTCAAATACAAATGTTTTTGCAAACATGTATTTCTAAAAATTGTGTTTATGTGGCTCTTTGCTTTAAATCTTAAAAGCAACGTATCTGTGGTGTTCATTTGCATTAGCTTATGGTCAGTGAAGCATGCAAGAAAGAGCCAGTGACAAACTTGCACATTCCTTAGTAGTGCTCAGCTTACAAGGTTTAGATTTTGATAGATTACACAGTAACAATCTAATTGCAAATTCTGCTCTTGGTGTTGAGAAGCAGCCTGCCTAAGGATGTCCTTAGTCTTCACTAAGGACAAGGTAGAGACAACACTTTGCCCGACACGTGGACATGGTTGCAGCACAAAAGCTCTTTAGGACGAAAAGGTTGTTCTAGTTGGAAGGAGTTTGAGGACGGAGGTCAGTGATCCGTTCCCATACATACGCAACCGCGGTAACGGATGTTTTCCTTTGCTGGAGGTAGAGGTCAGAGACTTCTTCCTTTGCCTTTGCTTCCGAGGTGCTGTGGAAGACGAAAGGACACAGCTGTAGGTATATTGACTCAAATGGAGGAAGGTCTCAGCAGCCTGGCATGTAGTGCAGTACGTTCTGAGTGTGTCCGGTCAGTTACAGGAAGAAATGCTGGTGATCAGTGCAATAAAGAGAAAACTGGAGTGCTGGAAAGGCTTGATTAACTTTCTGACATTTTTCCACTATCAAGACAATTTGATTAAATAAATTAAAAAAAATCCCACACCTTCTCATTTACATTTAGTGGCATATCAATGCTTTGGTCTACACAGCAATATCACAAGAACTGTCTTCTACTGGAAGTATTGTTCTTTACTGTGTATCTACACTGCTACTTTGAATGTGTATGTGGTTATCTAAGTAATAGTTCAACAAAATGAATGCTTGATTGGGATGCCCTTTCAATTTCTTCTATCTTCACTGTCATCTTTCTACTTGATGTTTGCATAAAGTGGTGATCTAGGCGTCAGGACTCCATTAATGACAGGTAACACCTTGGATGAGTAAAACAACCTAATTCACCTGTCTCACAGGTGTGTTAATTGAGGTTAAGCAATCAATATTTGGTTATTTCATAAATGCCCAGAGTTTATAAAATAATCTCTCTTTTCAACTGCCACCTTAAAAAAAAAAAATTACAATTAAGTGTCTCCAGTAAATACATTATCTTTATTTCCCTTTATTCTCTTACCGTATATATCGGGAAGTATGCATCTGGCAAGCTTGCTTACCAGTGGGAAAAACTAAGAGAGGAGCTGAGCAGGTAGCCTTAGTAAAAACATTGTGTTGTACCGGAAACAAGATCGTGGTGGCAGAATCATTCTAAGGGCTACATGGTACAAGGGGTATAAGGTAGTGATATAGTTTGTTAATGTCAGCACGTTAGTTCATGTCAGGAGTGTGGTTCTACTTCTATAGCAGTATCTGCCCTGTGGTTCAGGACGTAACGCAGGGACGTGGCTCCAGGAGGACATCCGCATCCGAGAGC